AGCTCCATTTTTAGGACACATTATACATATTTATTTTGCTTCAGCAGTTGCAGAAGGATAGCTATTTAAGAATAACAGAGCATCTAGTTTTCTCAACTATTCAGCAGGTAGAATTTGCAACACAAGCAAGGCATGGTCATCCTCACCTGTCCACTGGCAATTAAGAAATTAAATATAAGTACTAGCACCATTGTTATGTAATTACCACCTTGCCAAATTAATTTTTTGCTACAATTGAAACCAACACACATCCTGGCTACATTCAAATAAAGAATGGGAATGACAAGGAAGCCAGTGGATTACATGTGAAATATCTGCACAGAGGAAGTCTTTTCAGGAAGCACTCTCACTATTAACCCAACTGTTAGTACCAGCAAGCTTTCAGGCTTGCAAGCATCTCTTCAGAAGCAGTAGTTTGTGAAGGACAAGGAGCAAAGACCCAATGCTTCGTGCTAAACTTGATTATTGCCAATAATCATTTATAGCTTGAGAGCATTTACAAGTGTGAGAGGTCACTATGCCAGAGATAAGGGCAATTATCATACAGTGTTAGTGGCAATGAGGTGTGGCAGATGTTGAAAGATATCATAAAATTTAAATTAAGCCTTCTGAAAGTGCTTCAGGGCTGATAATGCTCAAATTACCACAATAAATGACCCAGTTTTACTAATCCAGTATCAGTAATTGAGTAGAGTCCTTCAAATGCTGTAAGAGTCAAGGGTCAAGTCTAGACAGACTCTACAGGGGTCTATCCTGGGACTTGTCCTCTCCAGCAACCTGTGCCAGTCCATAATCATGTCAGTCCTGAAGGTGATGTCAAACTGAGGAACAACCAGCCAACATACTCAAGGGTGGGACTGCAACTTCAGAGGGACCCATTCAAGCAGAAATAACAGGCATACAAAAACTTGAAAGAATTCAACAAGGCTGCACACAAAGCCATGCACCTGGGAAGGAAAAGCCCAAAGCCATGCACCTGGGAAGGAAAAGCCCCTGGCAATAGCACAGGCTGGAACCTGACTACCTGTAAAGCAGCTATGCTTAAAAGGACCAGGGGGTCATAACAGACTGAGCAGGACATGAGTCAGCTGTGAGCCCTGGCAGCAGGAACACAGCCTGTGTGAGAGAAGTGATCATTTGCCTCCCCTCATCCTTGCCAGACCACCTTCATAATACTGTGTCCAGTTTTCCTCTTCCCAGCAGCAGAAATATTGACAGAGTGCCATCAATTCAGCAGAGAAACTCCAGGATAGGTAGGGGCTGGAGAACCTGCTGTACTGGGAAAGGTTGAGGGAGGGGAGGAAGGGAAGGCTTCAGGCCTCCTAGAAGCAGCTTTTCAGTACCTAAAAGGAGCTCATGCAAATGCAAGCCAAGCTCTTTAGTGGTGCTTGGAGAAAGGACAGATGGAAGCTCAGAGGCTGAGACTGGATATAGGAGAACTCCCTCTCCCTGCCATACCCCTGAGGGGGTCAGGGAGCAGAGCACGCTGCCTAGGGAGGCTGTGCAGTCTCCATCCTCACAGGTTTTCAAGATGGAAAAAGCCCTGGGCAACCTGGTCTGATCTCAGGGCTGATGCTCCTCTGAACAGATCATCTCCCAGGGTGTCCTGCCATCTGAATTTTCCTATGATTCCATTCTGGTGCTGTCTATATAACTTCTACTCTATTGCCTACCCTGCAACTTGATTTCCTCCCTCCTCCTAACCCTCATTAAGTCTTGAGTCCATAAAGCATGTTCCTGATCAATTCCCTCACTCATCTGCAGCAGGAACTGGCTTCTCCACAGGAGTGTCATGAAAAAGTCATCCAATTCTCTATATATACACATACACCAAGTCTTACTCTACTGCAAGGAGCTTTTTAGAGCTCATCTGAGTTCCCCCTCCTTTCCTTCTACAAGAAGGGATTCTGGGGCTGCTCAGTGCCAGATTTCCAAGCAGAAGCACAGAGCTCATAAAAAGCTAGCACCTTGGCATCCAGAAGCAGCTGGAGGGTGAGATTGAAGAATATGTACCGTCTACTCCAGTCTCTCTTTCCATAACCTTATTTCAAAGTAAGATCTTTGTCATTTTCTTTTAAAAAAACCCTCAACAAATGACAGAAAAAAGAACACCACCAAACATTTGCCTCTGCCACTTGGCCTACCTGATTATTTGCAGGTTTGTATTTCAGTCCTGGCTTGTTCAAGATTCTTTCAATCTGCTCATGGTTGAAGTTGGAGATTCCAATGGCTTTTACCAGACCAGCATCCACCAGTTCTTCCATGGCCTGGCAGAAAGAAGCACAAAGTCAGGATCTAATATACAAAGGCCTGAAGAGCACATGCTTCCTGATATGCCTTGTTTCCTTCATAAGGAACCTAAATGAAGTGCTTAGATTTTCAGAGTTCAGGTCTGAGGGAAAAAACCTCAGAGCACTGGTGTGTATGTGCCACGCCTCCCATGCTCAAAGGACTCATTCTTTGAGATTATGGAAATTCAGAGCAAGTTAGAAGTGGAAAATGATGGACTGATACATGACAATTTGCTATTGTACCACTTGAGACCTTCCAAGTAATTCTTAGTGAGATCATCTTCTGTTCTCAGCAGCCTCTGATGCTCTCTTTACCTTCATCAGTCTAAACTTTTTCCTGCTGGGGCTGAACTCACCTCCCACGTCTGTAGAATATCTGTGTTGCTGGGGATGGCCATGCCTTTGTCATCTACAGGGAACAGCTCCTCTCCTGCCTGTCAGTGAGAGAGAAATTGCGTGAAATAAACATTATGTGGAGGTTGGGTTAACACCAGCTGAAGACCATGATCCTATAAACTCTTATTACAGGACAAACTAATCCTTATTATACTAATTATCTACATACATATTAGACACTAATAATCTATCTATAGTATTTTCTTTTGTTTTCACATGGTATTATGGCAGGTTTCAACCCAGTAAGGACAGATATTTCTGATGGACACTGTGTCCCCTGGCTCACCAAAATCCACAGGGTGAAACTTAAGTCTCCACTTGTAACACAGAAAGTAGAATTATAGCCAGTTTACAAAAATACACAGTTGCTACCTGCTCATAATGAAGTGTTTTAGTGAAATGCATAAGGACCCCCTGAGAATTTGGAATATATTCAGGTTATATTGGGCCAGATTTCCTGACTGGTGTTTCATGGGGAGTCTCATTGTTTAAGTTGCTGGCATAGGGAAGGTTAGAACACCCTGTGTCCCAGTTAGGACCATCTGCCAGGTATCAACTTCATTCAAAACCAGTTATTTTCTACTAATTTGTTATTTACACCACAGTGCATTTTTAGTGCATTGATAGTTCTGTCCATGTGAAACTAATTTTAAAAATACAGATGTTAGGAAGAGCAGTTCATCTTGGTAGCAAGAGGTAGAGTGAAAAATTTGATCAAGCTCTCATTCAAACTGGATTGTATTTAAGGCCTTAGTGATTGAAGAGAGAAATGAAAGACAATCTCTTATTCTGTGATTCTGTAACATGCAGAGGAAAGAACTTCTGTCAGACAGCAAAGGACAGCCCTCCTCCCACAAAGAAGAAACCACACTGAACATGACTTTGGATTTGTAGAAGGCAACACAATCAATAAACAAAAGGAAAGAGATGTAACTTCTGCTTTCATCAGGGAATCCCATCCTTAGGGTTCAAGGTCTACCTCTTCCATGAGGAAAAGGGCTCAGATACCATGCAAGTAGGGATCTCAAGAGGTAAAAATCAACAGCTTGGCTCACATGGCCACAGTAAAGCTGAGCACCAGAGCAGGGCTATTACACAATACACATAGGATGATCTGTGCAACTGAAGCAATCACTGGGCTATAAAGCCACACAGCTCTTCATAATTGCCACTCACAGACAAAGCCAAGGGCACTGCTGTTACCGTACCTTGAAACCAAGAGGCCAGTGGATGAGGTACAGATCCAGGTAATCCAGTTTCAGGGCAGCAAGAGTCTTCTGGCAGGCTCCCTTCACCAGAGGCTTCTCATGAAACGTGCACCACAGCTGGGGACAAAAAGCCAAGGCACATTGTGACCTCTTGGTTTAAAGCTCTTGGAACTCTTCCATACTGTTCAGCAGGGTGCCTGTCCCCTTGGGAAAGTGATGTGAAACCAGGTCATCCTACAGCTCTTCAAGTGGGGCTTGTTCTGTGAGCAGGACTGGCCTGTGACACTGGGCAGTGTGTGCAGTGGCAGCACACATAACTAACTGCATGATGTCCTGACAGAAGCAGTAGTCTGCTTTCAGTTATTAAGATTTAAGTTGAAAGCATCACCCAAATTTATGATATGGACCCTGCATAATTTTCAATACAGGATAAGGTGAAATAGAAATCTCAGGAATGGCTTAAGTAATGCTTTAAATTGCTCCACGCTGCACAACAGAGTAGGTGAGTAAAGAACTGGGGGAGTTTAAAACAAAAAGGGATCCCCCGGTATAACCTACATTACCAGACCCATACCTTACTGACGACAAAGAGGTCCTCTCGTTTCACAACGCCTTCCTTGATTTTCTGCTGGATCCCTTCCCCAACTTCGTTTTCATTCTGGTACACGTAGGCGCAGTCGAAGTGGCGGTACCCGGCATCGATGGCAGCCATCACCGCAGCTGTTACTTTCCCCGGCTGGGACTGAAAAAAAGCCACGGCAAAATAAAACCTCCCATCAACACAGCACAGAAGACCTCTCTCACGGCAAGATAAAGCTAAGAAAGCCACCACATCCAGAGCAAACCGCAGCTAAAACAAAGCCAAATCCCGGCGGCGGCCTGGCCGGGACAGCGCTCGCAGGGCCCGGGCCGCGCTCCTCCCTTTCCCCGCTCCCCATCGCCCTCACGCCGGCAGCCCGAGGGAGCGCGTCCCGGTACCTTCCACGTGCCCAGCCCCAGGATGGGCATCTTGGCCCCGGTGTTGAGCTGCACGTAGTTCGCCATGGCCGCACCAGCAACACCACCTCAGCTACAGCCGAACCCCGCGCCTTTAATAGAGAGCGGNCCTCCCGCAGCACCTCGGTCCCCTGGAGCCTCATCCCCGGGCGGGGGTGGCAGAGGGGACACGGGGCAGAAGCGTGTCCCCTCCCCCGGCAGGAGCTGCCTCACACCGCGGGAGCGCTGAGCCCCCGGCCCCGCCGCAGCGCTGGTGGCCCGGGCTCGTCCCCCTTGCCGGGATCCTGTGGCTCTGTGTGCTGGTACAGCGACACGGCAGCAGAAACCTCCGTGTGCCTGGCTACTGAGGGCCAGGAGAAGCTGTTCCCTGCGCCGAGTGACGCAAACCCAGCTTTGCTTAGGAGTAATTTAGGATAGGAGTGAATTTAAAAACAAAACCAAACACCAAACCAGCTTTATTTTGAATTTTAGAGGAGGTTTTTTTGAAAGTGTTTTGAAAGTCTCAGAAGAGGAACAGTGACTTTTTAATGAGTGACATCATGATCATGTTGTCCCTCTGTCTTTAGGAAGTGCTGAGGACATTGCAGAATAAAATGCACGATTGTAATGGTACGTGGTCGTGGCCAGCAGTCTCACATCAGAAACTGGCTTTGATGCTTTTGCAGACAAGCATTCGCTGTTCTGCTGAAGACGTCACAGCGCAATGGAAAAACCCAGACTTGCCTGGGAGGCTTTGCTGCTTATTCACATGTGGAGAGTTCCTTCAGGTGCGAGTGTTTCCTCTGGGTGCTTCTCCCTGCTCTCTGCAGCTCCGTATTTTTTGCTCCATTTAGCTAAGGGCAGCATGGTAATTGGTTTTCCTCTTTAGTGTTCCTCCTGTTTTGTGTCAGCACCATCAGGCATCTCTGGCAGGATGCGATGTGCTTTCACTTGGATCACAAAACCTTTACACAGCTTGGTGCTTATCTCTTACCACCTGGGTTGAATTTTCCCTCGTGGTTTCAGGTCGGAGATGCCTCTGTCCTGTCTCAAGAGGCTTCAGGCAGAAGTTCTGTATTTTGTTTTTGCTGTTAGCTCTTGTGAGTTGGAGCCTTTCCCCTCAGAGCTGCAAGGCCAGCCAGCTTTCCACTATTTGCCTCTCCTGAAGGTCTTCTGGGGGCCTTGGAGGAGGAAGAAGTACTGCACGTGTCACCCTGTGACAGCCAGCCTGCTAAATCTTGTGCCCTGTGTCCTTGATAACATGGTCATGTCTTTACAGAGAGTGCTGACAATGAGGAACTGTGAGGGGGAGGAGGGTCTTGCTTGCTTTTTTTTTTTCCCCTTGATCCACAGGAGGCATAATATCATGAGTTTTTGGTTTGTTTTGCTGACTTTGCATTTAGTAACTGTAATTTCACCACAAGTTGTGACTTTGGTGACCAGTGGTGTTTGGAGTCTGAGAACAGGGCCCAAAACAGAAGTGGGTATGTCCTTATGGACAGTGTTTACAGAGAGACCCAGTGGCCCTCTGAAATAACGTGAAGGCAGAGTGGGGAGGTGACACTGCTGCAAGGTGTGATCATCTCTACAGCTAAGGGGAAGAGCTGCAGCGGTCTGCAGCTTCAGAGACACCAGACACAGGCATAACTTACACCTTGGAGGTGAGGGCACGCAGGTTTCAGGCTTGAATTGCTGGGAAGCACAGCAGGAATTTCTGCTTTGCTTGGAGGGGAGATTTATCTTGCTCAGTGTGGGGTTCCAGTTCAACCTTTGGATGCCAGGAGCAGATCTGAGGTGCTTGGCCAGCCATGACTGGAAGATCTTGGCCTCTTTCTCACTCTGAGCTCAAATCAGCCCAGGAGCATGTCTTGGTGGATCTCCCATATTCTCAGAGCATTTGGTCCTCATGCTTTTGTCCTTTGCACTCAGTGAAATTACAAGCTCCAGGCACAGCCAAGGATGAGGAAGAGATCCCACCACCCATCTGTGGTGATCATTGTGTGGGAAGGCAGGTTTAGTACAGCAGGGAAAACCTGGGCAGGGGGAAGCCATGAACTGCCTCAGGCTGGTCAGGACAGAATCTGGCTGGCTCTGAAGGTGGTGCTGTACCTGGGGTGACTGAGTCCTGGCAGATGGGAAGCACCTCTGTGTCCCCCACAGTCCCCCTGGCCGCTGAGGAGGGCAGCATCTCACTCCAAAGGGGGTCCTGTGGGCTGGGTCACCCCTGCTGGGCAGGAAAGTGGCAGTCCTGGGGACAGTGGCAGTCCTGGGGACCCTGGCAGCCCTGGGGACAACAGACTGCCCACCCAGGAGCTCTAGGACACAGTAAGCAGGACTGAGAGGTGAAAGGAAGCATCAGGCACCCAGCATCACCCTCGGAGACACCCTTGGTTCCAGGGAGGGAATGGGGTGGCCTGGATGCAATCTGTGGTGACAAAGAAGGGATGGAGAGGAGGACAGGGAGCAGATTGGTGTTTGGCTTAAACTGAGGCTGGGGAAGGGGGAGAAAGGCATTTACTCAATTGTTCTTCTGTGTTTTTTTTTTCACTCTTCAGTTACCTGAGACACAGAAGTGGAGTAGTGAGAAGTCTGGAAGAAGCAATGATCCTGGCCCTGGGAATGAATATACAGTAGTGGAGCAGCCAGTGCACATCCAGGGGGGAGCACACACAGTGTGCAATTGCCTGAGGAGAGGAGACATCTGGGCAGGCCAGTGCTGGGTAGGAAGATGACTTGGAAAAGAGAAACAGATGCTTTCTGGAAGCTGATGGCAAAATGAAAACAAAGCCTCTTGAGGCAGCCTGAGTTGTAAGGTTAGGTAGGCCTGTGGAGGTGGGAGTGCTGCTCCCCAGAATGTGAGCACTCTCTTGACAGTCCTTTGCTCAGGCTGTGTCAGCAAATGGGATTCAGGTTTTTGCCTTGTAAGAGGAGAGTTGTGGGAAGCTTGGGCTCTCTGCTACTAGCAGGCAACGCCCTTCCCAAGGGAGGAAGGCTTTAGGATCCACCAGTGAGGGGCTGTGGGGAGAAATCGTCTGATCCTGCTGATCCCACAGATGAAACTCCTCTGCAGATGTTTGGACTGCTGGGTGGTGTTTACAGGCAAGGGGGGAAGGACCCTGAAAAAGTGGTGATCACTGATGCTGTGGCATGAAAGCTCCAAGGTCTGAGCACAGTTACTACTGGTATCACTTGATAAGTTACTGTTGGGACATCAAGGAGTAACTCACATGCATTGTACTAGCTAGTGCATGCCAAAAGATCAGCAGATTAGTGGCTCTGGCCAAGGATAGCTGGGAGTTCAGCTTGGAAAGCATTTTAGAAGCAGTTGGAAAATATACTGACTGTTACTGTGTTGATCCTGATAATTTTGTCTCTGGGAGAAGGGGTGGGTTTGGGATTCATGCCTTGTTTCCACTGGTGAGGTGTTAACAGCACAGGTCTGCATGGGCAATGGGTGGAGTTTATAATGAATATGCAGTAAGATGATGATTATGTTAAAGATGGAGTTTGAATAAGGGTGAAACAAATCTTAATATATCTCTCAATTAAATGCAGGGTGGAATGTAAAGAACATAAATTGCAGACAGTATCAAGGGATGGCAGTGGTGACCAAACATCCTGTCCCATGCCAGAATTTAAGCTCACAGTCCTGCCACTCAAGAATACTTCTGGAGACACAGGTGCACTTTTTTGAAGGAGATCCATGCTGAAAGGACTTAATTCCAGGAGGACTGCAGCTGGTGGATGAGTTATGTTTGAACAAGGAAACCCTTGAAGGCATGGTGGGCACTGGGGAACTTGTGCTGGAGAAAGTATTCACTAAAAAGACAGTGCACCAAATTTGTGCATCATAGTAACATTGCACCTTTATTGTTCAATAAAAATCTGTATTTGATTTCAGCAGAGCTAAGTCTCACCTCAGTTTGGGGTTACAGAAGGTTTTAAACCCAGTGTGCAACTTCATGATTGTGTTTGGTCACCTGCCCAAGGGCTGGGAGCAGAAATGTGCCACAGCCCCAAAAGCAAATACCTTCTGTTCTCAGCTGGGGATGTGGGGCCAAGGGCAGCGGCGGATGGCTGGCTGGGCTGGAGGGCGAGGTGGATGGAGCTAGAGGGACATTAACTGCGGCCAGAATTTGGCCCCCAGGCTGACAGGGCCAGAGGAGATGCCGGGGCTTTGGGGGCTGAGCTCCTGGTGCCAGCAGCCAGAGCCCCGGGCTGTGTGACATCAGGGATGGGGACAGGCTGAGGGATGGCTGCCCTCTGCTGCCCGCAGGGGAATGGGAAATGTGCCCTGTCCCAGGGAAAATCCACACACGCAGGAGAAAACCTGGCTGAAAATACTGCTGACCACACCCCTGTGTGTTTTCTGCTTATGGACTTTGGTTTTTTTCCTAAGGGCAAGATTTTCCTAGGTAGGAAAAGCTGCTTTCTCAGTTACTTCTGGAGTGATAAAACTGCTGGCTTTTAGTTCACATTTCTCAGATTTTTCTCTCATAACTGCCAACTATCCTCCTGTCTCTCATAACTCCAACTATCCTGTTGTGTTGAAGCAAGATAAATTAAAAAGGTGAATGTGTAGTTCAAAGTCTCTCCCTCGCTAAACGTGGATTACTTCATCCACATTTTGACAGAAAATGATTACAGCCCCCATTTTATTCTTTTGGAACAATTTTACTGTATCTTTCAGAAAGAAAAAACAAGAGATGATCACTGAATACATATGCTGTGGCTTCACTGGCTGCAGGAGGAGAAAAGCAATAAGAAAGTCAGATAAATTGATAGGAAGAATATCAGACCAAGCTCTGAATGAGGGCAGGATATTATCTTCAATATTCTGCATTGAAGGGGTAGTCCTTGTGAGTTTTGCCCCTGCAGGGAATAGAAAACTTCATTTTAGTCATAATTTTCCTTTCTAGTTTTGCTTCAAGAAGCCACTAAGGTGGGGTCTGAGCTCTGAAATTGAAGGATGAGTTCATTCCAGATTTGTTTTCCTCTATTGTATGTGTTTTTGTACATTTGGAACATCCCAATTACTTCATCATTCAGGCTCTTGACATTCTAGGCAGTATTTAGATGTAAAACCTCTGTGTATATAATATTCAAAACTGATGGGTTTGGAGAAAAATACTGAGTGCTACCACTTACATGCTCATTGTATAGACTCTCCAGTTTCTGTTAAAGCTGAAAATAGTTGCCATCTCCTCTTCAGTCAATTTGAAGTCAAACACCTAAAAAGAGAAAACCACCTCTTTGAACAAACCAGAGTCTGTAAGCAAAATCCACAAGTCTGCAAGGGAAGGCAGCTGGTTAGAAAACATGACTGCTTCATGAAAAAGACATCTCTCTGTTTCACCAAGAATGCATTGGCAGAGGGAATAGAAAAATTCATCCAAAGTTGCAATAACACATGCCAGCTGTTGCAGGACACTTGGCAGACTCTTGCATCTGTCACTTGTGAGAGATGCATCTTTCTGTCCTATTCCAAAGGCACATCTAGAAGATTTCCAAATTTCACTTAATCTGTCTAGGCTTTTTGAAATCCCAGTGACCAGTTGCAGTCAAAGACCACTGAATTAGAAAAGACCACTGAATAGAGCAACATGGTCTGTGAACACCACAACTGTTTTCCTAACACTGCTTGCTCTACATAAGCCTTTCATGGTGTGCTGCTGCACTCAAGTGCCAGTGAAAAACCATCTGGTAATTCATCTCAAGTCTGCAGAATACAAGACACTGTGTAAAGTGACTGCTAGAATTATCAGCATACTGAAAAAAGGCTTGGTTCATTCCTGCTCTCCAACTGTAACCTTAAGTTTGGCCCTTAGTAGAGTGTGTAAACAGACAAAAAGCCTGGTGTTCTTGCCTGTGCAGAAGCTGGGAAGAATGATAAAGGATTTTTTCCCTTGCTGTGCAGGGAGAAGCCAAGCCATCCCTGAGGGGCAGCAGCTCAATCCAAATCCCTCACCTGGAAGTTCTCCACAATGCGCTGGGGAGCGAAGGAGAACCTGCAAGAACAGACAACTGAATCTTTCTTCTTGCTCTGGAGGAAGCAGAGACTGTTCCAACAGATGTTATCCCTGTTTCCAAGCATTCCTGTCCCTGCAGCCCTGGTTGCCCGGCCTGAAGAGCAAAGAGGGAAGTGGTGGAGCCCCCTGTGAAAGGCCTCCTTTCCCATTCAGTTTTGGGCCAGTCAAGTCTTCCTGCTCACCCAGACTTCTATCAAGATTTCATTCTCTGCAGGAGGACTTGAGATGAAGACTGAAACATTCCAGCATTTGAGGACAGGTCAAGAAAATGTTTCATGATGACAGTCAGAGCACACTTGAGAGTGTGCATTGCAGGCCACACAGAAAACAGGCCCTGCACTGCTGCCTCTCACCAGAGCTGACTGGGAACAAAGAGCCAGCCTGTCCTCCACACTGTCACTGGCTGTCCTGTGTCACAGGAAGGGGTACCCACAGTCTGGCATCCACGTACCTGGGCTGTGGATTTGTTGTGCTTGGCTGCAATTTCCTTGATCTTGGGGTCATCCAGAAGGGAAGGATCCTCTGGCTTAGCCCTACACAGAGGAGACACAACAGCAGAAATCTGTTTTGACATCAGTGGCTAACAGTACACTGACTGTCTCAGTGCTCCAAGCATTATCCATGCCAGCTCCCTCACAAATTGCAGAGCAATCTTACCATGGTCTGTCAGGAGAGCCAAGGGGGCTGTAGGCTGTCACAGCAATCCCTTGGGATTGGCAATAGTTCACCAGCTTCTCCTGGGTAAGGTATGGATTGCATTCGATCTGCCAGCAGAAGGGTACAGAGGTGGGTAGAATGCAGCTGTAACTCACTGCAGGGATTATCTCCCAGTGCAATTAAAGGCTGGAATTTGTCCTCATGTGCCAGTCTTTGCAAAGCATCTTTCAGCCGTAGTTTTCTACAGCACCTGCTTCTACAGTGAGACTCCTTGTACCTCTGGGTCTTTGCTCTGGGCGAAAAGCATTCCATAAGGCTCACCTCTGGGTTCTTTGGCATGTTCTGAGGTCCTTCTCAGATTTCTAAGCAGTATTAGTATTTCTAATACTAATTATAACAGTATTAGTATTTCTAATCAGTATTTCTTAGCAAATATTGAAAACCCCAATGCCTCACATATTCAGCAGTAATGTGGAGTGGGATGAGAAGAACATGCTGCATCTGCTCTGTTCTCCCCCCCTGTCTGTTCTAGACATAAAATCTCCCTTTCTCATCAATTTGTGCTCCTTTCTCATGTGCTATAGTTTTGGACAAATGTGCATTTTTTTTTTCATTTCAGCATGCTCTTTTTTTGTAACTACTTTCAGAGGAAGGACTGGCAGGCTCTGGAGACTGAGGGAATTTAGTACTCTTGGTGAATATGCAAGAAGTACTGAATTCAGAACTGTAAGAGATGTCTGAGTCTGTCCAAGGGCCCTTGAAGGGATAAACTCCTGCAGCTCCTGCATGCAAAGGGGCAGTGGCTGCTGTATGCAAAGACTAGGTGATTTATTTTTTAAATATGTGTGTATAAAAACACCTTATTTCCTATTTTACATAAATCAGAGTAGATACCAGGAAGCCACCAGTGTGTCAGTAAATGTTCTAATTCTGTATAATAGTTAAAACTGGCCTCGCTTTCCAACTGGGTGACTGAACTGTGGATTCCTGGATGAGATAAAACACATCTTGTGTGAACAATCATCTGCTATTAGTAACAGATTGATGCCATTACTAATAACAGGACAAGTATTTTAGAGTTCTTGTGGTAATTTGTGTACCACAACTTCATTCCCTATCAGGACACAGATCTACAACATCTTTGTGTGTACTCAGAAATAATCACAGGGCATAATTGTGCTGTGTCTGCTTTATATTTCCTTTTTGCATCTCCTCATGCAATTGTAATTGGATCTTTATAATCCCACAAAACTAGTCCCCTGCAGTCATTTTGCAGCTCACCTGGACATTTGCAGGCTTGTGCTTCAGTCCTGGCTTGTTCAAGATTCTTTCAATCTGCTCATGGTTGAAGTTGGAGACACCAATGGCTTTTACCAATCCACAGTCCACCAGTTCTTCCATGGCCTGGCAGAAAGAGGAGCACAGTCAGCATCAGTATACAAGATAGGCCCTGGAAGAATTATTCCTTCATTTGTGTGGCTTCATTTCCCTTCATGGGCAAGGAAAGACAAATGTTTGGAGCTGCAAAGATTGTCTCCTGAGGAAAAGTGCACACTGGTGTATTTATGCCATGTCTTCCATCTCACCCAAACCCAAGGGCTCCTTTCTTGAGATGGCAGAAGTTCAGTTATTTTCACATGGGAAATAAGGATAATCAGTGATGTGTTCTTAAGCCAGCATGATCACAACCTAATTTACTTCAGCAGAGTGTATTTGAGCACTTTCAGAACAGAATGAGGACAGTTCTGTTTCTGGTATGGCCAGGCAGTCTGGCTTGCAGCTTCACTAAAAATTATCAGCTTGACTGAACATGTTTTGAAAAACTATTTTGTATATGGTGCAATAAATACGTAAGAACTTTGTGGCTACTGAAGGTAATGAAAGCATGGAAAAGACTGCCAGCAACAGAAAGCATGACTTTCCCACCCTGGCTGAACTTACCTCCCATGTATCTAGAAAATCGGTGTTGCTTGGAATAGCCATGCCTTTGTCATCTGCAGGAAACAGCTCCTCTCCTGCCTGTCAGTGAAAAAAAAAATAAAAATTATAAAAACACTCTTTTTATTGGCAGGGTAATACCAAGACAACTGAAGACCATGATGGCTTTAGCTACTAGTACAGAAAATATTAATATTTGTTTACATTGTTCCTGGCAATTTTGCCAGTAATCATTCCTAGTAGGAATGATCTGGAATCAGATGTCAGGTGTATGTCCTGGATCCAGCAATGACTCACTAGAACATGTACAAATAAACAAGTCACACTTGTGGAACAAACAAGCTTCCTGTACTCCTCTATTATTCCTTTAAGACCGAATTGGGGTTTTTTTTGGTTTTTTTTTGAAGGACTTGTTAAAGTTCCAGGAACATTTAAGTCAGGTTTAGGCTGAGCCACATCTGCTGAAGAAGATATTATGTGAACACACAGGTGTCCTGTGAGGGGAGCCTCTGTTTAAGCTGGAGGCAAGTCAGAACACCCCAGATGTACAAACTCAGGAACAAACCTCCACATCCAATGTGCAGATGTCAGAGTATTATGACACTTTCACTCAAGCTCTTTGTTCACATAAAACTAACCATGACAGCTTTGCAAGTGTGACAAACAGCTGACAAGCTCAAAAGCCACATATATAGGATGGAGGTCTTAACCTGTCTGCAGCAGAAGGAAAAAGCCAAGACTAGACACAGACTGAGACATCAGCTCCTTTGAGGTACATGAAGGATGAGATGTATTTCATGTACTTCTGACATGGATATCAGAAAGTCTCACCTTTTGAAATCCAAGGTCTGTGGAACAACTTTAAGACTCCTACAGCAGAGCTCAGCTCAATCTGTAGTGTTTTAAGGACTCAGCGATTAAAGAAGGAAATAGAAGACAGAAACACGTTCTTGTTCTGTGCTTCTGTAACACACAGAGGAAAGAATTTCTGTCAGGCAGCAATGTACAGCCTTCCTTCCCTCAAAGCAGGAAAGGATGATTTAGGCCAAAGTTAAGCAGCATGAGTCAATCTTGCAGCCAGGGGCCTGACCTCAGTGCTGGCTCTGCCTGCCCGTTATCAGGAGGGCAGAGGACGCTGTGCAGGCAGCGCTGTCGGGGCAGAGATCAGGGGCAGAGCGGGATGGGCAGCACTGGGGCAGTGCTGGCACAACAGGCACGGGCTCTTTCTGGAGCAGCAGTGGTGCTGCAAGTGCTCCTGGCACTTCTGAGGAGCTCTGCCAGGAATGAGACCTGCTGTTACTGTACCTTGAACCCCAGAGGCCAGTGCATGAGGTAGAGATCCAGGTAATCCAATTTCAGGTCAGCAAGAGTCTTCTGGCAGGCTCCCTTTACCAGAGGCTTCTCATGAAAAGTGGACCACAGCTAGAGAGAAAAACAAGGAAGACTGTGACCTCCTGAGTTTCAGCTCTTTCCTGAAGAAGGAAAAAAAAGCTAGCACATTTTCTGGGGCCATTTCTGCTTAACACATAATTTGAACAGTCCCATGAAAATGAAGAATGTAGAACACATCTTAGATAATGCTCTACAAAATAGAGAGACAAAAAGAAGTTTTCACCAGTATGGGTCTGAACTATTCTCCTAATAATTTCACACTATAGCACACAGCCTTTCCCCACTGCTCTGAATTTCCCTCTGTGCATATGTTGCCACAAATTCTCCTGGATCCCAGGTCACCATACCTTGCTGACAACAAAGAGGTCTTCTCTTTTCACAACATCTTCTTTGATTTTCTGCTGGATCCCTTCCCCAATTTCATTCTCATTCTGGTACACGTAGGCACAGTCGAAGTGGCGGTACCCGGCATCGATGGCAGCCATCACCGCAGCTTTTACTTGCCCAGCTGCAGACTGGAAAAAGAAGCTTAAGACCCCAAAGCCTACAGGTTTCCTACTTATCTAGCAACTAAAGAAACACAGTTTTAAGTAGAGTTTTTCCATGCTGTGTTCGTAAAGCTCTCTTCATCTTACGAATGCAGGCTGCTGGGTTTGAATCCAGCCTCCAGGTATTTATCCATTGCCCCAGTCCAAAGCTGGCTCAGCCAACAGCCAGGTAGAGCAGAGCCCTCAATACTGCCAGAGATGGACCAGGGGGAACCAAATTTCGTGCCAAGGAGCTCTGCAGTGCCTCTTGCTCAACAGTTCTTGCTTCCCAGTGCTGTGTCTGAGAAACAAATGGCCCATCTAGAAGAATTTTAGTTCTTATGGGGAGGGCAGTGGTCTACACCTTACTCATCCACATCTCTTTGGAGTGTTACACTGTGCTCATGTTAGGGCACATCCCACCTGTAATTTGAGCTTCATGTCAGCTGCTTCCTTCAGAGACAGAGGAGGTGTGCAGTTCCGTGTGTATTTACACCCTGAAAGGGCGTGTAAGAGCCGTGCACAAAGAAATGTTGGCGTATCTTGTCCGCACAAATCCAGCAATGTTTGTTCCTAGGCATTGTATGAATCAGCGGTTTTGCAGTCATCGTAACAACGGTGCAAACCTCTTTGTCAGAACTTGCTCGAAACGCATGAATTGTCTTCTGAAGCCATACCTGGTTAGCAGACGGCTCCCGGGGTACCTGGTACTGCTTGTTCCTCAGCAGGGATGTGCTCCAGTGCAGGGGCACGGGAAGGGACAGGGACAGCAGGGGCTGGGTGGGATCCGCGCATCCAGGGATGCGGCAGGGATGGGAGAGCGAAAGCGGCTTCCAGAGCATCGCCGGGGCTCTGCCCGCATCCCGGGACCGAGCCGAGCTGTCCCCGCTCCCTGCCCGCCCCCGAGCGCTCCGGACCCTTCCGGAGGAGACGGCACGGAGCCAGCCCGCTGTGCCCCTTACCTTCCATGTGCCCAGCCCCACGGTGGGAATGCCGGCCCCGCTGGAGAGCTGCAGGCAGGTGGCCATGGCTCCAGCCGGGAGTGTTTCCCCGGAGCATTCAGCCCTCCCAGAAAGGCAGCGCCGCTCCCCGGGACCCGCCCGGGACCCGCCCGGTCACAGCCACAGCCCCGCGGCCCTGGGGACACCGGGCTCGCTGCTTCTCCCCCTGTCGCCCTGAGAATCAGACCTTTCCATATTGTTTCCATAATTTCTAGCCACTTTCCCAGGAAAGTAACTATAAACACAGATGTTTATACATTCCATTAAAGATTTGCCTTTTGATGGACATCTCTCGCGACCAGTGTGGCTGGGAAGGTGTTAACCTGACTATCCAACCCCTGGTCGTGGTCAAAAATCTAAATACTGAAAGAACAAAATAAACTTCCTTCTTCTTTCATCACACTTGGAGCTGCGTCTGTGTGAATCATTTCAGCTGCAATGTGGGCTCTGGGTTCCCTCCTCATCTCTCTGGGACGGGAGAGGAAAAGTGACCTCCTTTGAAGGGGTAAATTAGAAAGCAGTTATTTTAAAGAAAAATGTTATTTTTAGTGTTGGGAGACGCTTCTTTTAGTGTTTTTTGAAAGCTGCTGAAGAATAATAGGTGTTATGTTGAAGTTTTGCTGCGTGCTGGTGGTTGGAGAATTTATTCAGGTGTCAGCATCAGCTGGCAACATAATAGTGCATTTTTCTCTGTGTGCCTTTTTTTTGTAGCTCTTTTCTTGCCCTGCTTACCTGAGAGTAGACAATAGTTTGTCTCTGTAATCCTGTTTTTTGTCAGCACCATCAGCCATCCCCAGCAGGATGTGATGTTTCAGTTAACATCACAAAATAGTTATGTAATGTATTGTTTGCATTTTACTTTTTTTTCCCCCTGCTGGATTCCTCCTCTTTAAATCTGCTCTGAGCATGCTCAGACTCTTGGGGTTTGGCTTGAAATCAGTGAAATCAGTGCAAAGATTGTGATATTAAGAGTACAGTTTTAAAGCCAACCATGAGAGGCCTGCTGCCATCCTAGTCTGGGGGTTTTTCCCCAATGGTTTATTAACTGAGAGATGTCTCTGTCTTTTGGAAAGGATTTTGGGCAGAAGGTTTGCATTTGCTGTAATGTGTCTGAGGTCCATTTGGTCATAACCAAAAGCACAAGTTTTGTTCACACCTCATTTGAGAACAAAATCTTTCTTTTTAATCACCTACAAAGGCCAAGCTCTGTTTGCATCTGTCATGGGGTAAGGGAACAGCAGACAAGGTGATAGTGCTAAACTGGATTCACCAAGTGCATCAGTGAAGGAAAAGCCTGGCAGAGAGAACGTGACATGCACTGAAGGAGTCTTGGTACGAGCTCTGGATGATAAAGCAACAGGAGAACCATACCTGGAAATATTCACAATGTGTATTAGTGATCCCTCATTATTATGAGGGATTAGAGATCCCTCATAAAGTACTGCAGTGAGTCAGTGTGGCCTCACCTGGGGGAAATAAAGCACTCAACTCTGACCTGTCAGGCTCTGGGCAGTGGCTCAGCACTAACACATGCTCTTACACCTCGTGTCCTCATCATTTTGGGTATCTGCATGGGTGTAGTCATGTTTCCTCACAGTCTGTTTTACTGAGGGCTTGTAAAGCTAGATGGATGTCAGCACAGCCTGGCAGCCAGAGCAGTCCCCACTTTTACCACAGAGCTCTCCAGCACTTCCAGTTACACTCCTGGCACTTTCACATGCTATGTACCAAGACTCCTCCCACAGCTCTTGTCTGCACCAACGGGTCAGTCATGGTTCATTATATCCAGTTATTTTAACTCCTAATCATGGCAAGCTCTTGATGCTCCTGTGACATTCAGTCTCTCAGCCTTTCTGCCATCTGTCAAGAACCTTTCATCCATGCACTCACACCCACAACCCAATTCACATTGCAATTGTACAATGCAAGCAGCTCAAGCTTGTCTAAGTGTATTTACCCGCTGCATACAGAGTTAAACAATAGTACAGCTAAGTCAGTCAGCATTGGGCACTAATGCTAGTAACCTTCACAAATGCTGGTTTTTGTTAGTCCTCAAGGAAGTCTCCTGACCACTCTGCTACTCAAGACACAGCTCAACCTTCACATGCATTTCTCAGAGCTCACAGCTTGGTCTGATGTGGGAGTTATGGATCAGAGTGCAGCAGATGTTCTGCCAGCCCCAGGCACACATGGACACACGGACACCCGAGCTGCCACACTGTCACAGCAGCTCCCAGCTATCCTAGCACTGCCCAGCCAGGCTCACCTGCACCTCCACCAGCAGGGAGATGATGGGACACTTGTGGCTGAGTTCTTTTCCCCCCTTGGACTGAGTTTGATGAGAGAGAGGCAGTTTTCTCTTCAGACTTGGTTGTTTATTCTTCTCTAATCTATATTACATATATAAAAGGCACAAGGAGCTACATGCACTAAGATAGAAAGGTGCAAAATGGCCAACAAAGATCTTCTTCAAGGTTTTTTATATGTCCATTTACCCAATTAACAAATGCCAAGTTAATTATTTTTCTTAGTGACCCAATGACCCAACACCTGTGAGCTGCCCTGTGGCATTTTCTATTCAATCACTCATTACTACCCAAAAACCTCTGGAAGAAGGAAGAAAAGACAGCACCCTAAATCCTCCATCTTGTCTTTTGTTTTCTAACTACTTTAAACCTTTAACTTTTTTACCCAATGACTTAAGAAAACTCTTACACACTCACACCTCTAGCTTTTCCATTTAACAGTTGTTTTCATGGTGTTATATGAAATTCAGTGCTTTCTTGGATGTCAGAGCCAGATATCAGAGATAAGGGCACACACTCTGTGCCTCTGACTCCAACAGGAGACTTTGGCAAGGGAAGCCTTTACTCATTCACATGGTTACAGTGAGCAGAGACCTGTCCCAGTGAATCAGCAAGAATAGAATAGAATAGAATAGGAATAGGAAAGAATAGAATAGAATAGAATAGAATAGAATAGAATAGAATAGAATAGAATAGAATAGAATAGAATAGAATAGAATAGGACTCCAGTGTCAGGCCCTGGGCAGCAGCTCAGTATTAACATATTCCAGTTCCACCATGCACCCTCTGTGCTGTACCAGCCACCTGCTGAACACTGCTTATCTCCCCTCTCCCCCCCAGTCTCTGGCACTCTGGGCTTTCAATAGCCAGATACCAGCACTGGCCACCAATTAAACCAGTCCACAGTGATACCCAGGCAGAGTTTTCAGCAGGTCAGGTGTTGTTCTCCTGTTGCTTGTTGATCACAAGATCTCAATGCTCTTGTGACATCATTTAAAATTGATCAGGGATGATTATTTCCAATTACATTTTATATCTGATTTTATCCAATTATATTAATTATTTTCCAATTACACTGTTCATGCAAATTTCTTGGTTTGTTAATTTTAGCATTAGAATAGAACTTCCAAACCAGCAGTAATCCAAATATTTTTATTTTGGTCAAGAATGAAATTGAACATCAATCTCTTTCCAGTTTCAGCCTATAAAAAAAGTGACTGAAATAAGGCCCAGTATGAGTTTGTATTCATCTGGACACTTCTCTCATTTATTTTTCTTTCCCAGAAAGCTTTGGGCTGTACTCTAGAAGTTAATTTTGACTTTTACCTTCAGGCAGTGATTATGTGATTATTCAGGATGCGTTTTTCTCCTGCAGTTACATATCCTTAACCCTGCAGCCTTAAATGGTGCTGATGTAAGACAGTAGATAAAATCAGTTGCTCATTCCCTCTTCTGTTTTCCCCTTTGCTATTTCAGCCCTGCAGAAACACTTGTGTCATGAGAATTATCACAGCCCACATTTTGTTCTTCAGAACAATTGTACAATTTCCTTCCACCAAAATAAAAAACCCAAAGTCACTGAACACAATAACCTTGCCTTTGCTGGCAAGAAGGATACAGTGTGTAAGCTACATAGTGCACAGTTTGAGGCAATGGTAGAAACTCACTAGACCCTGGAGGCCTGAGAAAGGGCAGGAAAAAACCCATCTTCAATATTCTGCATTGAAAGGGTACGCCTTGTGATTTTTGCACCTGGAGGAAATCAAAGAGGGAAGATTACTCAAGGCTAAAATAATTAAGAGATTTGATAATATAGAAACAGCCTACAGGACCAAGTTCCAGCCTTTATGTTATTCAGGCATTGAACAGTGGTGGGACCAAGTTCAGAGTTAACTCTTTCTAGATACAGATAAAATTCACACAGAGGCAGCAGCACTTTCTGTGGCCTTGCAGCCAAGACTTCCTATTTTGGCTTCCAAGGTGCATATTTGCAAGCAGCTGTGCTTTGTACTGCACAACAGATGGTTATCCATCCCCACAACCACCTGTGTAAGGGCTGACATCAATTTCTAATACCCCACAGAAAAAAATTACCCAAAATTTAAAACAGCCTAATGCTCATTTATCCCATATGGACACAGCCAAAGTTATCAACTAAAACCCTCATTTTTAAATTCCAGGCATATAAAGTTCCCTGGAGAATGGGTTTACAATGAATACACAGCACAACTTACCCTTGCCTTCAGTCAATAAGGTGGAAGCACAACAACAGATGCTTCATCCCCAAAATTATATCAGATTTCAAAATATACCTAATTTGAACAGCTATAGCAGTCCCTGTGAGATCAGAATAAAGATCATTGAAAATGTAAGAGTTTGAAGGACACAAACTGCCACTTACGTGACCATTTCACAGATTCTCCAGTTCCTGTTTAAGCTAAGAAGAGTTGCCATCTCCTCTTTAGTCAGTTCAAAGTCAAACACCTAAAAAGAGAAAACCAGCTGGATTTAACTTCTTTAAACAAATCAAATCAGAATTAAGATTCACAGGATGAAAGAAAGACTTCATATCAGAAAGGATGCTGATTACAAGATAGATTCATGAAACATGGAAAGGAAAAGAGATATCTTTGGATTTTCCAGACTCCACTGGCAGAGGAAAGAAATAGAAGGAGGCACCACATAAAGTGCCTGATAAGGTTATCAGAATACTGTTTGCAAGAGCTCTGTCTGTTCTTCACTGCAGTTTTCACTGTAGCCCTGCCTTCCAGACAGACAGAAAGAGCCCAGTCCTCTTGCTGCAGGAGGCCATGGCAAGGGTGATAAAGGATCACTGCCCAGCCATCCCTGAGGGGCAGCAGCTCAATCCCAATCCCTCACCTGGAAGTTCTCCACAATGCGCTGGGGGGTGACAGATTTGGGAATCACAATCACATTTCTCTGGATCTGGAAGCGAAGGAGAACCTGCAAGAACAAACAACTGAAGCCTTCTTCCTGTTCCAACAGCTGTTTTCCCTAAGCTATAGCCACTTGTGCAAGCTGCATTTCAAATCATCCCTGTCCCTGCAGTCCAGGTTGCACTGCCTGGAGAGCAAAGAGGAGAGTGATGGAAGCTCCCATGGAAGGTCTTCTTTCCATTCTGGTTTTGGGCTAGTCAACTCCTTTTCATAGCACTCAGAAGTTTTGCAGTATGTACAAGGCTTACATTCTCTGCAAGAGGACTTGAGAGGGGAAGTGACAACTGAAGATGAGTCAAGAATATTTTCTTGACTGATGGCCAGAGTTAGTAGTAGCTTGTCTTGTAGGCCACAGAATGGACAGCCTGCATTGCTTGTTAACAAGAGAAAAAAGCAGGATTGCTCACAGGTAACACCACAGGTAACACACAGCCCTCTCTTCAGACAGAGTTTCCTAAATTGCTTTGTTACAGGAAGGGGTATCCACTGTCTGGTACTTACTCACCTGTGCTGGGGTTTTGTTGTGCTTGGCTGCAATCTCCTTGATCTTGGGGTCATCCAGAAGAGAAGGTGCCTCTGGTTTAGAACTAGACAAAATGGAGGGAGAAAAGGATGAAACAACAAAGAATCACTTCAGAAAGATTCCATCTAGTCCCATTAATTAATTAATTAAAAAAAAAAAAAAAAGGAAAATATATATACACCTGCACCATTACTCAATTAGTCTGAATGCTTCAGACTTAAATCACACAAACCCACTTGGAAATTACCCATCAGGACGTCCAAGGGGACAGTAGGCTGTCACAGTGATCCCTTTGGAGTGGCAGTAGTCAATCAGCTTCTCCTGGGACAGGTATGGATGACACTCAATCTGCCAACACAGAAGCAGAGAGTGAGAGCTGTAAAACTACTGTAGTTTTCCCTTGCTCCAGAGATTTTTCTGAATCCTAATTTCCTAATTAGAGATTGCCTTCACCCAACCCTGCAGGTGGCCTGTGTGACAATACAAGACTATAATTCTGTAGGGCACCAAATTTTATACTGAGTCTTAATGTGCTTTTTGGATTTTTGTTCTGAGAAGCTTTGTAGGAGTCAATCATTATGTCAGAACAATTGCTCACATCTGGATTCTTCATGCCTCTAGAGAGAATGGTTCCTAGTAAAATACTCCAAAGTTAGTGGTTCAACAAGATGAGACAAAAAGGAAATATTCTGGTTCTGTTTGTATGAAGAAATATCCAGAGAGAGGGATTTAATCTACATGCTGTATCTACTTTGTTCTCTCTTTTTCCACCTCCTCATTCAACTGTAATCAGAACTTTATAATCCCTGAGAAGTTATTTCTCTGCAGTCACTTTGCAGCTTACTTGGTTATTTGCAGGCTTGTGTTTCAGTCCTGGCTTGTTCAAGATTCTTTCAATCTGCTCACGGTTAAAATTGGAGATTCCAATGGCTTTTACCAGACCAGCATCCACCAGCTCTTCCATGGCCTGGCAGAAAGAGGAGCACAGTCAGCATGCAGTGGCTAAGAAGTGACTGAACACATTCTTCCAGACATGCTCTGTTCTTCTTCATGGGGAGCACACTTTTAAAAGCTGTCGTGTGCTTCTGCAAATTCTTTCCAGCTAACTGGGAATGAAAATGGATCAACACAGATGAACATTCTGCAACTGCTGAAGGCAACACCACTGCTGAGGACAGAAGATGTGACTCTCCCACTCAGGATGAACTCACCTCCCACGTCTGTAGAATATCTGTGTTGCTGGGGATGGCCATGCCTTTGTCATCTACAGGGAACAGATCCTCTCCTGCCTGTCAGTGAGAGAGAAATTGCTTGAAAATCTCTTGTTGAGTCCACTTAAGTGCTCACAACCACAGCACCTTAAACTTCTAGTGCAAGAGCGCTAATTCTTGTCTACATTCAGTCATTCCTTCCTGAGAAGTGGAAGGAATTTAAAGCATTTTTGCCAGTGACCATTCCCCGTAGGAACAGGTTTTTCTGCTGAATCCCTGGAAGCGATGGCTCACCCAAACACCTACAGGGAAACAAAGCATTCAGAGCTGCAGCCTCCAGCCTCACATGTGCTCCCTTCAGGTGCTGTTCTTCAGTTCCCACTTAGCAAGAACTGCTTTGTCCTTTTTCCAGGGGGGGCATCAACACTTTGGTCTACACAACACCAGATCTACTGAAAAGAGGTTTTGTGTGCACTGCCAGCTCTTCCATGACAATGCTCAGTGTAAAGCCACCAACACAAGGAAAGTTAGAAGAGCCTTTGTATACAAGTTATGAAAAAATGCCAAGACTGAACTGTGTTTAGCAGCTGTTTGCTGCTGTCATCATGAGACAGTTTCATTTTCATGGCTCTGTTATTATAAAGTTAAAATAAAGCATGAAAAAAAGATGAGCATCTCAAAGGCAACAGATAGAATAGGGAGGGATCAGACTGCGAGGGGATAGAAAGGCTGTGACTAGAAATATTCAAACTGAGACATCAACTCCTTCACTGATCTTGGGGGGCATAAACTCTCTAACAGAGGTTTCACCTTTTTAATTCCTGTCTCGGTGGAACAATGCTAAGGCTCCTACAAGCAAGGTCAGCTCAATCTGTACTGCACTAAGGACTTGGTGATTGAAATGGAAAACAGATCTGCTTTCTTTTGCTCTCTGATTCTGTAGCACAAAAAGGAAAATCACAGAAAAGCAGCAAAAAGCAACCCTCCTTCCCACAAGAGGTGAATTTGAGACGAATACACACTGGATTTGCAGGATAAAAGTAAAGCAGCCTGTCTCTTATGCTTGGAGCTGGGAGAGCTGCCTCTAGTTTCTCTAGTTTTCAGGCCACCATTCCAAGGATCAAACAATTGCCTCTAGGGCAGAGACCAAGAGCCCGAGTCACATGGCCAGGGTCAAGCTGAGCACCAGAGCAGTGCTGGCACAGATAACAGGCATGGAATTGTCAGCCAGAACAATTGTTGGGCTGTTAAACCAGCCACAAGAAACAAAGTTACAGGCATTGCCACTACCGTACCTTGAAGCCAAAAGGCCAGTGGACAAGGTAGAGATCCAGGTAATCCAGCTTCAGGTCGGCAAGAGTCTTCTGGCAGGCTCCCTTCACCAGAGGCTTCTCATGGAAGGTGCACCACAGCTGGAGACACAAACCAGGGCTTTCTCAGACTTCTCAGACTGAGAATTCCTGGGTTAAAGCTCTGGGGTGCTCCCCTGCACAGGAATGCTGAATGGGATGGAAGGAGGCCAGCCTAGTGCTCTTCGCACACACTGAGCTCTGGCTGTGTGGCAGCGCAGGAAGCAAGAAAATACCAGCAATTAACTCATTTACATTACAAACTTCTCCAGTGCTACGGCATTTAATGATGTTAAATGTCAGCTGTTCCTACTGTAAAAACACCACCGATAAAACCAGTATGTCCATAATCCACGGCCATCTGATCCATACCTTACTGACCACGAAGAGGTCCTCTCGCTTCACAGCACCTTCCTTGATTTTCTGCTGGATCCCTTCCCCAACTTCCTTCTCATTCTGGTACACGTAGGCACAGTCGAAGTGGCGGTACCCGGCATCGATGGCAGCCATCACCGCAGCTGCCACCTTACCTGGGGGGGACTAAAGGGACAAAGGGCAGGGCAGGCCTCGGTGAGGGACTCTCAGGCGCTCCCCCGTCCCGCAGCGCGGTGTCTGCCTCACCTTCCATGTTCCCAGCCCCATGAGGGGCGCGCTGGCGGCGGTCCCGAGCCTCACGTACCCCGCCATGCCCGCCATAGGTACCCCGCGTCCGCGGCCAATCAGCGTCCCTCGCTCTCGCGCGAGCCCGCCGCACTGACCATTCAGCGTCCCCCCTTCCGGCGCGAGCCCGCCGCGTCGACCAATAAGTGTCCCCCATCCCTGCGCGAGCCCGCCGCGCTGACCAATCAGCAGTGGAGCCCGCCGCCTGCCGTGGGGGCGGTTCGTGTGGGAGGGAGGCCGGGCGCGCTCCCGGCTTTCCCCCGGGAGAAGGGTGAAGTTCCTTGTGGAAAGATAAGGGCTGGGCTCAGGTGTGTCCCGGTCCGGCTGGAGTTCCTGCAGGGATCAGCTCCCGCAGTGTCCACGGGTTGTCCGTGCGTGTCTCGCTTGTGCCATGTCCCCCGGTGTTCTGACCCCCTCTCTGTTCCTTGAGAGAGACACAAACGTGGGACAAACAGTTTCGCTTTGGGGTGAGTTTGCGAGCAATTTCGGAAATGATCAGGACAAATCACTTCATTTAAAATGCTAAGGGAAAACGTGTTTTAGTGTGTTTTCAAAACTACCGAGGAACACCGAGTTTTCAGCGAGTATCACAATGATCACCTTATCCCGCTGCCTTCAGGGAGGTGCAAACCGTATTTCAGAAGGAAATACGTACAAGTGTAGCAATAAATTATAGGTGGCCTTTTAATTTCACATTAGAAACTGACTTTGGAATTTTGGAGAGGCAAAAAAAGAGGATGAGGTGTTGAAAGTGCAATGAAAAAGAAATTAATTTATCAACAGGATCCTTCGAGTGCTCAATAATAGCCTGTTAGGGCTGCTTGAGAGGCTTTGCTGTTTGCTGGTACTTGGGGAATTCATTCAGGTACAAACAGAAATCTGAAATATATACAATGGTGCCTTTTTCTCCCACAGAGGATGTCTCTCCCACAGAGGATGCCCAAGATTGTTCTGCTTCATTTAACTGGAGACGGACAAGACAATTAGTTTTCCCTTTAATCTTCCTCCAGTTTTCTGTCAGCGCTGTCAGCTGTCCTCTGCAGGATGTGGTATTGCAGTTTAATCACATAAGAATGCAATTTCTCCTTCCTCTCCCTTTCTTCTGTGAACTCATGTTCTCCTTTGAAGGTTGCTGTCTGCTTTTCCCCATGAGAGCCACCTTGGTTTTTTAAGAGAGGGTTTTGGGCAGAAGGTTTTGTGTTTTGCTTTGTTGGTGTGAGGCCTTGCCCAGACCATGCCAATTCTTGCTTCTGTCCTGAAGGTGTGGCAGGGCCTTTGAGAAAAGTGTATTTATTGGAACAGAAGGTTGATGTTGCTAAATGGTGTGCATTGGTTCAACTTCCAGATGCTTATTAAGGCAGGAGTAAAACAGGGGAGCAGCGATTTAATCTGATTTTAAGACATTGGCCTCTTTCTTGCACTGAGTTCAGATCAAGCCAGGAGCATCCTCTGAGGTCCCACCAATGTCTCTGTGTCTTCTCAAGAGGTTTTATTTTTTCTTTAAGACTTTAGCTTCTGATAATTCTTGTATTTGTTAAAAACAGGGCTGTGCCCAGGGCTTGGGGACTGTGGCCGGCAAGGAGGGGACAAGGTGGGTGCTGAGGGATGGCAGGGGAAAATGCTGAGTGTCCCAGGCAGGATCTGTGTCCCCACAGTGCAGGTGGCTGCAACCCACCCCTCTGTGCATCTCTGGGCAGGAGGGCCTTGGGTTTTTCCTACAACAGACAGAAAACTTTCCCTCAATTAGATTTTTGCATTTTAAAGTTAATTTTATTTAAAATGCATGACACCTCTGATGAAATTGTGGACCTGTGGGGTGTGCTTGTCAACATCTGGTTTCTGCTGATGAATGACTGAAGGCAACCACTGAATAGTGGTGCTGTAGAAAATACTCCTTCCTTCTTCCAAAAAAGCCAAATTTCATGGGATAAACATCCCATGTCTTCACTGGCAGCACCAGGGCAGATGACACCAGAGACCTAGTGTTTCAAGCACCTTCAGTATTCTGCATGGAAAGGGTATTCCTTGAGATTTTTGGACCTGAAAAAAATGAAAGTGAGAATGTTATTTTCACACATGATCCAAATGTGGTGTAGAGATAATGCTGTGTGCATGGAGGAGCCACCAAGGGAAGACCTGCATCATGCAGTCACAGCAAGAACAGGTGGAGATACATATTCTCCTTTCTCTGATACAGACTGAGATGAGTTGAACATCCAGAACCCATTTTTTTGTGTCATTCAAGTTACAGAGAGATTCCTGAAGAATTAAAAATGAGAATACAGTTTGGTTTAATTTTTGTTTAGTTTTTAAAGTGAAAATATCAAGCCTTCTCCTGAAAATGTTATTATTTTGGGACAAACCAATTGGAGTTTGAGTTGGCATGATTTTTAAATAAATTGAATTTCATGTTAGAAGCTGTGACACAAAATTCCATGTACAGAATATTCAGAATTTAAGATTTAGAAGAAAACAATCAGTGTCACTTACACATTCATTGCACAGACCCTCCAGTTTCTGTTGAAGGTCAGAAGAGTTGACATCTCCTCTTTAGTCAGTTCAAAGTCAAACACCTAAAAAGAGATACAAGTGGAAATCACTTCTCTGAACAAACTTAAGAGAAATATAAGAGCAGCTCCACACTGGAGAATCCATTTTCACACATGGACCGCTGAATTATGAGCAACAACTTGTTTTATGGACGTAAGGGATTATTTTATGACCATTGCTAATTCTATATGAGATGTTTCTGGCATGTTCCTGTGTGGGGATTCCAAGCAAACTGTGCCTGTTCATCCATCCACAAGCCATGGAACAGGGAATAATATCATGTAAGGATTGCTGATTAAAGTCTCCAAAAGTAGGCCTGGGTTAACACACAGTAAAGTGCAGTTAAGCATAAAGCAGAAGTCCAGTCCTCTTGCTGCAGGAGGCCATGGCAAGGGTGATAAAGGATCACTGCCCAGCCATCCCTGAGGGGCAGCAGCTCAATCCAAATCCCTCACCTGGAAGTTCTCCACAATGCGCTGGGGGGTGACAGATTTGGGAATCACAATCACATTTCTCTGGATCTGGAAGCGAAGGAGAACCTGCAAGAACAGACAACTGAAGCCTTCTTCCTGTTCCAACAGCTGTTTTCCCTAAGCTATCTCCATTTGTGCAAGCTGCATTTCAAATCATCCCTGTCCCTGCAGTCCAGGTTGCACTGCCTGGAGAGCAAAGTGGTGGAAGCTCCCATGGAAGGTCTTCTTTCCATTCTGGTTTTGGGCCAGTCAATTCCTTTTGTTTGCATCTGGGATTTTAGCAGTCTATGCAAGCTTTACATTCTCTGCAAGAGGACTTGAGAGGGGAAGTGACATCTGAAGGTGGTCTAGAATCTCTTTGATGGCCAAAGAGTTAAAGGTGTGTCCTGGAGGTAATATAATAAAAAAAATCTGCATTGTTAGGGAAAAATCAGAGAAGTGCTACAGTTCATGGGGAAGGGATAGAGGTTCTACCTGTTTTGGAGCTCTGTTTTCCTGCACTGGGAAGGAGTGCCCACCTGTGCTGGGGTTTTGTTGTGCTTGGCTGCAATCTCTTTGATCTTGGGGTTATCCAGAAGGGAAGGATCCCCGGGCTTAGCCCTACAGAGAGAAAACAAACCAGTGGCAAGAAACCTCTGCAGAAAGATTCAGCACAGCAACAGAGATCTGTATTTAAATAAGAAATGAGTGGTGTGTGTGCAGTCTCAGTGCTTCAGTCATAACCCCCACCAGCTCCCTGGCAGATTGCAAAGCAAATTTACCATGGTCTATCAGGAGAGCCAAGGGGGCAGTATGCAGTCACAGCCAGCCCTTTGGACTGACAGTACTTGATCAGCTTCTCCTGGGTGAGGTATGGGTGAGATTCAATCTGCCAACACAAAAACAAACAGTCTGACAGTGGCAGAACTGCTGCAATATTGTGCTCCAGAAATTTTCTCCTAATCCCATTAGAGACTGATTTTTTTCCCCTGATTTGACAATGGCCTCCATGATAATACCATGATAATAATGATACAAAGTGTTTACACAGTTTTTGCTGAGAGGTGTTTCACAAAACTCATCTCTGGGTTCTTTATTATCCCAGAAAGACTGTTTTCAGGAAAACTCTCACTTAAACAGTGGTTGAGCAAGGTAATACAAAAAAAAATTAAAAAAAAAATAGAAGTATCTAAGTGCTGTACTCTGAAATATCCATAGAGAGGAATTTGAAGTACATGCTGGGTCTGCTTTGTTTTTCCTTTTTGCATCTCCTCATGCAATTGTAATTGGATCTTTATAATCCCACAAAACAAGTCCCCTGCAGTCATTTTGCAGCTCACCTGGACATTTGCAGGTTTGTGCTTCAGTCCTGGCTTGTTCAAGATTCTTTCAATCTGCTCATGGTTGAAGTTGGAGACACCAATGGCTTTAACCAGTCCACAGTCCACCAGCTCTTCCATGGCCTAAAACAACAAAATCATCATCCAGTGTGCAAGGCAGCTCATGATGATTTTCTTCTTAATGTGACTTGTTTCCCACCACAAGCAGCACAAGAGTACTATTTAGTGTTGCAAAGTTCTTTGAGGGAAAAGCAGATGCTGGCACATTAATGCCATTTCACCCAAGCCCAAATTCTCATTCCCTGAGTGTGTAGAAATTCACACTGAGTTGCATGAGGAGAAGAATGATGACACTCAGTGCAAGCAGTGGAGGGCTGTCCCACACATTATAGGCCAGATTTCAACCTAAAATGTCTTTATTTCTGTGAAATTTGTTTGAGCAACTCAAGAAAGGCACAAGAACTGTGGTGAAAACAATTTGTTATTAAAACAAGTTGTTATTCTGCAGTGAGATTTTCTAGCTTCAGTGTGGTGGCCACTGGAAGTGCTTGTGCAGCTCCAGTCAAGTAAGACACTCGGAGAATAAGAATAACCAGGGAAGGATTAAGCATGCCCATTATGAAAAGCTATTTTGTACTGCCTTATTAAGTTTAAATTCAAGTTTGTAATTTTGTTTAATAAGGCAGTAAATTTAAGTTTAATAAGGCAGTCTGTACTGCCTTATTAAATTGGTTCCTTCCAACTAATTTTGTGTGAACGAGACAACAGTTCTATGACTGCTGAAGGTAATGCAAGCATGGAAAAGACTGATGAGGACAGAGGATGTTCCTCTTCTGCTCTGGCTGAACTTACCTCCCATGTCTGTAGAAGATCACTGTTGCTGGGTATGGCCATGCCTTTGTCATCTTTGGGAAACAATTCCTCTCCAGCCTGTCAGAGAGAGAGAGAGAGAGAAAAAAGCTTGAAATAATCTCTGCTGTGACACTAGCTGTGTAAAATCACCCGACAGGGATGTAAGGAGCTAAATCTAATACTGCATTAAAAAAACCCAACAAAACAACAAACAATTCTCTCCATAACTCAATTAGTTCTTTGGTCACTTCTTATTCTTAGTTCTTGAATTTTTGTCAACTACTATGCCAATAAAGACAGGTGTTTCTGCTGGACCCTTTGAAGTGATGATCCACAGAGTACATGCAGGGAGGTGGTTAACTTCTAGAACAATATTCTGGAGTCCTACATGAGTTCACTTCAAGTAGTGTTCAAGTAACAGTTTCTTTAGTTGTTATTAAAAAAGATATAATGGAGGATTGACTTGGGAACACAGACCTTCATACTGGAGTGCATCTGCTGACAGATGTCCCATGGGGATGCTCATTGTTGAAACTGCTGTATTAGAAAAATTAGAGCAGCTTCTAACTGGACAGTTTGGCCAAAGTATTTTGAATTATTTGAATTATCTAAATACCACAATATTGTGCAGTTTCACTTGACAACTTTGTCCACATAAAGCTAACTAGAACAATATTGAAGGAATGGAGTTGAGCTCAAAAGCATAAGGCAGAATAGAGATTTTGATAGGCATCATCTTTTTGAGATCCAAAGTCTGTGAAACAACATTAAGGCTCCTACAGGCAAGGTCAGCTCAATCTGTACTGTATGAAGGATTTGGAGAATCAAGAAAGAAATGGGAAACAGAAGTGTTTACTTGCAATATGTGATTCTGTAACCTGCAGAGGAAAGAATTTCTGTCA